GCAGCAACGCATTCGTATACGCATTCAAATGCGTATTATACGGTCGATCGCCTTATGTTCATTAGGGTACTATGACTTTAGCCCCTGCATGTGCAGATATTACATATAATCACTATTAGCCGTTTTCACGACGGCCATCTGGTACACATTTGGTGCACATCTGGTACAGATTAGGTGCAGATTTGGTCAAATCAGGTTCAGTGTGTCTCTTAGCAGCTGTCAGCTAGGGTTGCACTAATTGCTTATACGCCTGCTTTGTCATATTACTAGATGCCGGCAGCGCTCGTGCGTTGCCTTGGGCCAGAATTGGAGGATCCATAGCCCAATGAAATGTGCATTATTTTGGAGGCCTTGCCTGGGACTACCATTGAACCGATTTTGAGATTGATAGCTTAAAATTTCTTTGAGCCAGAGGACCTCACGTCAAAACGGTTTTCCGACCCCAGCACGTGCAGCCTGCACCCCTCGCAGCCGGTGACCCCCCTGGAAACTGGTTCAAGGTGTTACCGATGTGTCCCGCCAGTATGGCTTTGTCCGTGACCTCGGGTTGACCTGTAGCCTTGACAAAAAATTTCGTGTCACCGAAACTTTGAAGCGGAATAGCATGTGCCACGAAGCACCGAGCGAACCGAGGCCAGCACCAAAAGCTTACCTCGCCGGAGACGAATCAAACGGTCCCACTTTCGTCCCCATCGGTCCACCCATTTTGACTCCAGGTCCAAAAAAAGCTTGGACAAACTCACTCACATACTCACATACTCACTGACAAACAGGTTCAGCCATTGGTTCAGCCAGCCGAACTTTTTTCAGCGACCCACCAATGGGAATTTCCGGAACAGGTTCAGCCATTGGTTCAGCCAGCCGAACTTTTTTTCAGCGACCCACCAATGGGAATTTCCGGATGCATGCTATCGCATGCTTTTGATCCTCCAATTCTGGATCAGAGAGCATCATCGATTAGAACACTGAAATAAATTAATAAAATGAAGAGATTTCCTGCAAAAGAAATTAGGTGCAGATTTGGTCAAATCAGGTGCATTCGCCGGATAGCCCGTCGTGAAAACGGCTATTATCAATTCCGCATTTAAGCCCCACCACTCAACTGGTACAGTTACAGTGGCAAATATTCCGATGAAGCTGTTTGAGGGTTAATGCATGTTTAATATGTAGGGGAGAGTGGGGCACATTCGTACAAGAAATGGATAATTCCATATATCTGTTCTTTGATTAGTGCAGCGGCAAAATTGTTGATTGTACATATGTAGTATGGAAAGGAACTATTGCAGATATTTTTACTCTTTAAAATTTATCCTCTTAAGTTACCGCTTCTATTAGAAAAAAATGACTTTTAATAACTCTTAACGTTTGCACGAAACTGCCCCAGGTATGGGGCACATTCGTGCATGGGGTGGGGCACTTCCGTGCACCTTGCAAAATTGGATGAATTACCGGGCATTGCCAGAAATTTACCAAAAGAAATGGGCAGGGGGTCATTTTACTTGATTCCTTTCCACAAGAATGCATTGCACAACATATGTGGAAAAAATGGGCTGGCCAACAAGAATGCGTCAATCGCCGGCCATCGACCCGCCTCCGTACCTCTCCAAGGTCACGTGAATTACTTGTCACGACGTCGCAAGCAGCCGAGACTGAGTCAGGCGAGCGTCACTACTACAGATAAAGTCATAAAACGTAAAAACGAAAAAAATATGCAGGTATGTGCCCCTAGGCAGTGCGTGCACGAACCTGCCCCACAACGTTATTTGTAATAAAATTCAAAATTTCTTATTGAAAAAATGACTTATTGAAAAAATGACTCACTCCGTGAATAGAGTGAGCTTCTTCGGACTCAATTTTGAAAAGTTAAACCACATTTCCGAGTCAGGATCACGAAAATGGATGATATGCGAAAAGTTTGGAAAGCCCACGAATATGACAAATTTGCGTTTTTATCAAGCATGACAGCAGGTACAGTGTTGTCTTCTACAGTAACCGAAGGGCGGCAATGATTGACTGCATATTTTCATAATTTACCTTTAGCTCTTGCAGTCACTCGTGTTCCCATAAACTGCTGAAAACGAATGTGCCCCATGCACGAATGTGCCCCACTCTCCCTTACTAAGTGCTTACGTTGTACGCACGGTTGATCGTACTAGTAAGGTTCCTGAACTGGAAGGTGAGACCTAAGGACTTTGGTCATCAGGTCAGGTCCGTGCGTGGGCGATCCGACCGTTTTGAGTTATCAAGTCGCGTTATTTCCTTGGGGAATTTGGTAGACGAGTCGAATGGCAGGAGGCTTGTTTGCTGCATTGTCCAGGCCGGTGATTTCAGTGCGGGTTGGAGTTAAATCTATAATCTATATCATAGATAACATGAATAGATTCATGTTAGGTATCTAACTATGTCTATATGCCTGGTGTTGTGGTGTTTGTCTGGAAATCTACCACAAGTTTGTTTGATATTTCCAAAGGAGCGTACCGATAAGCGTCCAGGGTCCAATAATACTTTATAGACGCTTGCTACTTGGTTAATATGCATTTGATAGGAATGCCTTGAGTCGCAGAAACTCAAACATGGTCTCTAGAGCCATGCCATTTGCATTTGCCTGTCATGTTTCGGAACATGCAGAACTGGAATACTTCGTAGTTTGTTCAGCTCCAGCTAATTCGATATTTGCAATATGAGATTGTAATGTCTTAATCAGAGCTTTGGGTGCGTTACGCTCATCTATACGTCACTGAATTCCATACAATATAAAAACTGCGCTTCATTAATGGTGTTTCTAAAACGAGAAATGTGCAAAAACATGTTTTTGATAATTGGAGTTTACCAAGTCTGTTCGTGGTTTAGTAGGAGCTACTCCACCAGCCCAGCTTGGGAGGGCTTTTCTCTCGTGACGGAGAGTAACTATTCGCGCTGAGTGATCCATGCCACGCGAGGGTGAATGCAGATGAGTGCGAGTGCAATGCACTGAATGCAGATAGCAGACCGAGGGCTCGGTAGCAGACCGCTATGGAAACAGGGGCAACCGTATTTGTAGGTATCTACATACAAGAGCAGGATGTTCAAGAGTGACTCGTCTTCTAACCCGCGCGGGGCTGGGGTCTCCAGCCGAACGCGCGGGGCTGGGGGGTGTAAATTTTACCCCCCTGTTATCTCCCGAACTAATGGTCCGATTTGGAAAATTCAAACGCCAATCGAAAGATCTCATCACGAACAACTAAAAACATGTACTTAATTTAAAGTTTGAGGTCAAGGTCAAGGGCAGGTCAAGGGTACAAATTGCAAGTTCCTACAGTATCGGCCTTGCACCGTAGTTGCCGAAGAATGGAGTCGTGGACTGAGACTGATTGCCCAAAACGTGTTCTTAGGCTACCAAGAAAATATTCGTTGCATACAATATCATTAAGAGATCAAGGTCAAGGTCAGGTCAGGTCAGGTCAGGTCACCAAAAACAAAATATAGAAAAGGGCATGTGCGACACATGTTTTATGGGTCATTTTACTAATAGAATTCAATAGGCACACTCAATAAGTGATATGGACCACTTCTGGATGGATTTCAGGTCGAGGTCAGGTCAAGGTCAGGTCAAGTGGGGTCAAATTTTGAAGTTGGTTGTTAAGGCCTGAAAAGGTATCTAACTGATGCAGTTTTTCACGGCTAATCGAATGGTGCTATTTTTGTTTCCGTACGAGGTCTAGAACTTCCAAAAAAATCATTTTTCAATTTTTTTTTTGTGTGTCGTGACGGCATACAATGTTTAATAACTCCCACATTTTTGAACCGATTCTTCTAAAAATTGTTATGTAGGTGCACGTAGACCACTCTTCTGAAATATCATCCGGGTTTTTCGATACACTCAAAATTTTTGATTTTATGATTATTTTAAAAAAATCAGTTTTTTTGGAAAATTTGGGCCAAAATCCCAAAGTTTCAAAAAACCAAGATAGCCATTTGATAGACAAAGTAGAATTACGTATAACTTTTTTGTTACGTCTTGGTTCCTTTAAAAATGAAGATGTTAGCGGCGTTTGAAATTTTGTCGTTTTTGAGGCGAAAATGGCGAACATGACGTCACTAAAACGTCAATTTCTCAAAAATTTCCGACGGATTTCGCTCAAATTTTCAGGAAACGTGTCAAATTGATGTAAAAAAGGTACTGAAAGTTTGGCGGCGCTGCGTGTCGCCGTTTTTGAGATATTGCAAAAACTTGCGAGGGGGGTAAAATGTACCCCCCCCAGCCCCGTGCGGGTTAAAATAACTGGCTTTGTTACAATCAGGGGTGGGGGAGCGCATTGCACAAACATGTTAGTGAATGATAAAATCATTCAGATGAGGATTTGTGAACATGAGATCGATGATTTTCGTTGGTAGCCAACTATTTGATATTATACTTTGCTCTCACTTCAAAACATTTGCACATTTGCAAAAAACATTTGCAAATGTACCTCAGTATCACTTTAAAACATTTATGCCAATGGTTTTTCAGTCGGTCGGAAACTTTGGCAAGGACATTGAATCAAGAGCTACCTTGATATACTCGTGAATGTTAGGTTGATGTTTTAGTCCGATGGTGTAGGTAATCAATTCGCCTATGTAAATGCGTGCACTACTTACGGCTCAAGTAACGTATGGGGCCGCTGAACCGAGGCCCAAAGAGCGTGCATGGATTACAGCATGCCAGTCGCCAGACGGCATTCCCCTGCTCCTAATGACTTAAATATGAACATTTACCACCATCATCCCCCAAGCAAAAAGAAAGAAATATATCCACGTGTCGGATCCTCGACCTCTTCCCATTCACTCATGACTCAACAGCCCTTGTTGCTGGTCAGCAGATATCGACCATTCGTTTATCCCCTCCCCCAAAAAAGAAAGAAACAAAAAATGTACCTTTTAGTACCAGCGAGTGCAAGAAGGCCCCAAGAAGAACTGATATTGCACATCGATTTTCCTTCAATGCAGATTAGCCAAACATGACAGCAGCGACTATGACTGACCTGTGCTGGACTCTCAGAAGGCCGCGGACGCAGCCAGACCACGGTACACTCTGGAGTACCAAACTGGGGCAGAGGTGTGCCCGGCGACGGCGGCACTTCACCGTACACTGTCGCCGGATCGGCGGACCCACGAGGACGGTCGACGGGCAGACGGTGGCGCCACTCGGCGGTCAAAGGCAGAACCCGGCCAGCTGTCGAACCAAAGGCGAGCTCCCGTCCAATACCGACGATACCGACACCCAGGCACGTACGCTGCCGGACTTCCTTGTTCGCTAAGTTGTCGTATTGTCCGTTTAGTCTTGTAGCTAAGAATTGTCGTGAAGCTACTATACTTTTGAGCCGCCGCTAGATGGCACTACGGCGTGCGCCTGTAGCTATGCTGTACCGCACATCTCCAAGCGCTGGTATGTTGGACGACTGCCGCAATGGTGACACTGCAGCTTGCGCCTGCCGCCTGAAGATATACTGTACCGCATGCCTGTGTGAACGATGTAAATAATGCTTGCTACAAGAAAGGCTAGAACTTCTGCGCTCCACACTCCACACACTTTTGAGAGATAAATGTCTAAACTTGAATATTTGTAACCAGACTGACCTCCAGATGATGTGAAGACGATGCTGTAGTCGACGATGATGAGGAGAAGACGACGAAGAGAGGACGACGAAGAGAAGTGTGCACAAATTTTCGGCCCTAGGCCATCCTCAGGTGATGAGAGGGGAGGTAGGAGGGGGAGGAAGACCACCTCCGATGGTCGCCGCGGCGAGGCACCAACTGACGCCAGACGGAGGTTTGAAATGACACCAGTTGGCGCGCGAGGTGACCTGCAGCGCCACCTGTCTCGGTAGGCCATCTGTCGGTCACCGTTCGGACTGGCAACTCCTTCAGCCGCCGGTTATAATATCGGCCATGATGTGGTTTGGGTGTTCAGCGATGGTCTGCGGTCTCGAATAAATAGCGATTCTGCGATTTTCCTGTTTGGGCCGTCTTTGCATACCGTCAAGATGTTGATGCGGAAGCAGTTGGTGATGTCTGTTTGTTCGTTTGGGTGGCAGGTAGTCATGTGGTCGCCGAGGGGAGTGTCCGGGTTTCTGTGCCGCGCGTCTCGGAGGTGCTCGTTAAATCTCAGTCGCACGCTTCGTCTTGTCTCTCCGATATAAATATTCCGCGTCTTTACTTTTTCACACAGCTCACAGGCTATCTCATAGACCACATTTTTTGTGTGACACCTGCCACCCAGACCGCTCATACAAGTCGCGCATTTGCGACCCCCTCCAATACAAATATTCAAGTTGAAACAATGCCCTACATCCAAGAGGCGTTCCGACAATTAAACAAGATCATAAATGTCTAAAACAACAGCACGAAGATAGGAGTGGGCCCGTCCTGTAGTGCAAAAAAAGCCACTGCTGCGCACCAGCCCGTGGTTTGCTCCAGCCCGATGTTTGCTCAGTCAAATGTCTCCACTCTATCCTGCCGCCCTTAGCTCTGCAATGGCTTTATTTTACCGAAAGAGATTGCCCCGAGACAAGGCCATATAAATATATAAAAATAGCTACGGGCTTGCTTAGCATTACGTGACGTAAGAACTACAAATTAGTGATGTCATTTTCCAAAAAATGTCTGACCGATACCGACCGAAACCAAAATTTGGGAAAAATTTCCGACCGAATACCGACCGATTACATCCCAAGCCAAAATTTGACCGAAATTTGACCGAACTTCTATTTGCTATTACTCTACCCCAAAATTAAAATATTTGGTAAATTCTGATGGAAAATAATGGGAAATGGCATTTCAGTCCAAGTTCAGTCAATTCTTAGCCACTGCAAAATACATATTGTGATAGAAGTTACATTGCTGAGGGTATACAGGGTGTTTCACTAAAAGTGTCAAAAAGTTAAAGGTCCTAATGCACATAATAACAATGTTTTCTATGAACATTTGCACATCATTTCATCCGCGATTGTTGGACATTTGAATATATAAAAATGATATCACCGTCACTCAAACCTATTCCACATATCCGCCCCTTCTTTTGATGCACCGTTTCGGCACGTGTCCGGAGGTGCCTCACAGCCCGTTGTCACCTTCAGCGTCAAGACTGTCGGCAAAGCCTTGCATTGTGCTCTTCAGCCCCCAAAGTGATGCGACTTGAGTCTTCCTCAGCTCTGCGAGAGCTACTGACCAAAACCAGAAGGCTAGCGGTGACAGATCGGGGCCTCGCGCTGGCCAGGGGCAGGCGGTGAGGCAGCTGATTATTCGGCCCGGGAACGGAACTTCTGGTCCAGCCAGTTCTTGGTGGCTACAGCCTTGCCCGTTACAGTGGTTGTTTCTGATAACTTGGGGGCTTGGCTATTTCTGATGTTGAAATAAGCTTCTTGTTATCTTAAAAGGTCCTAAAAAAGACCCTGACCTTTTCAACGATTTCCGCCGAGAGGTGGGGGCAACCCGCCTTTTTTGGACTGGAACCGGCATCAAAGGAACGCTTTTAAACCTCTCAAGAAGCCCTTTTAAACTTTTATAATCTGGGTCGTAGCGAGGTGAGAGAGTGAAACGTTTCCTGAAAAGTCGGCGTACGGTTTCAATGTCTCTGATAGCACCAAATGTAAGTGTAATCCACCGCTCCTGTTGCGGTGCAAATAACCTGTTCTTGTTCTGTATAGGGGGAAAAACGACTAGTAACTTTGGCCTCCTGCCCTCGCTCCGTATGAGTGTTAAGTATATCTTAAGTGGCCAAAGCATTAATGTCCAAAAATTTGCAACAAAGCCACGTGCGCAACCACGTGATTTGCGTGTTTTATATATCTTTAATAAGCATTTACTTTTTGACACTTTTAGTGAAACACCCTGTAGCAACACATGGACCTCAGCATTTCACAGAGTTAGTTGATAAGAATTGTCAAGAATCTACTGTGGTCTATGTAAGGAAGAATGCTCATTCATGTTGCAAAAGCACGATCAATTAGCATAGTCAAATGGTTGGTAATAGGTATGTTCATGACAACATTCCCTAGGAGAAAAGGCGGAATCAAAACACTACAAAACACATTTAAAACTGCTTGGAAACTTGCCTTGAGTCTTGAGATGTGGTCTGAGATACTCTACAAATAATTTGACACTGAAAATCCAGCTGAAAAGGCAGGTATTAGGTAGCTCTGAGCTTGAATTTTGTCCCAAAAATGAAATGAAAATTCATTACACAGGCACTTTGTCTTATCTCTTGTTTGTCTTATCTTTACAAGAAAACAAAATATGCAGACAAAATTAATACCTACAAAGTGGCGCCAAAGTGGCGCAAAAAGTAATAGAAGAACCAAGGATTGACTTTTAAGATCCTCTCTTCCGTAACGCAAGGATGTATGTTGATGACGTAATATTTATTTATATGCCCTTTTGGTCGAATTATTGAAAGGGAAATTAATTTTCTTGTAGTGAATTACACTCACAATGTTGATTTCATTAGAATTCAATATCGTGTTGGATCATTTACATCAATAAAATAATTCACGAGGCAGCATGTAACAATCCAAAACTTTTTTTTGCAGCAACTTTATCAGCTGGTTTAAAGTCTCTGTTATGGCGCATCTGTTTCGAAATCCTTCCTTGTGTTTGGAATGTGGAAGATTCCAGAAATCGGACATGGGCCGATGTAGTTTTTGTCAAGATTCCTATGTTTTTATGTTGTGGTCATCTAGATTTCAAACATTTGGTTGGTACCTGCAATATTTAAGGAGAATGTGGGATAGTAGAACACCTGTGAAATGTAAATGTGATCACTGCTAAGTGCTAAGTGCTAACTGTCCAGTCTTCAGAAACACATTTCAGTAATTCCAATTCAAGGTATTTTTGTCCTTGCATTTTTGATGACTGTATAATGATTTTTGTAGGCAATACTTCTTTGATTACAGGTGAAATTTTAACAGTTAGACTGGAATAGAGTTTCAAAATTGTGTGTACTTGTGGGGCCAACTGAGTCAAAATCAGCCTGCTTGTCGTTGTGGTTGGACAATGGGTGGCTGCTGCCTGCTGGGTGGGTTGGCTAATGAGGTTGCCAAAATGTGGCATTTGGCATTTGGGGGAAATTTTGCAACTCTATCATTAACATCCCAATAAATTTCATTTTAACTAGGCAAAAATGGAATACTTTCTCTTTTTGAAAATGGTTTCACTGGCAGGGTGACCGAAAGTGTCCGATTTTTGGGGGGCCTGACCGACCGATTACCAAATCGGTCAGCATATCTTTTCGGTAACCGAAATTTTCGGTAACCGCGTGACACCACTACTACAAATGAAGGAGTATTTATTTTCATAATTGGTAAAAAATAATCACTTAAACTTTTGTGGCAATCGATGAAATAGGTACAGATGGAAGATAAAGGTATAGGTATCAAAATGTTGTTTTTTTCTGCCCGTTGAAAATAATAACCCCGAGCAATGCTAATGACTAGCCTCTTCCTTTTCTATGCTTGCTCAAACTGATCAATATGAAGTTTTTACTTCATGAGACTAGACATGAGACTATTTCACTCAGTGCTTCGTCGCAATGGCCACTTCAATAGGTGTAGCATGAACTTCCTTCATTTGCTCATCTAACTCACGCCAGGGGGCGATTGTAACATATCGTGGTGGGGAGGGCGCTTTTACATCCACGCTTTAACCCTCGCCGACACAGGCCCTTTTGTGTCCATTGACGGCACAATGGGGGAAGGGGGTACAACCCCCTCGCGTTTGGCCCCTGATTGAGCTAGAGCCTCGCGGAAAAAACGAGCGTGTTGTCCGTCACAAGAGGAAGCCGATGATACCCAATTTTAAGGTCCTAGGTCATCGGTTGACCTTCCAGGTCAGGTCAATGACCCAACAGTTGGGAAAATCGGGACTTGTTAGAAAGTCATAAAATGTAGCTGCAATGGGGGTTTCCGGGGTGCTGATCACAAATATTGTGTTAGTTTTGATCACAGATGATGTCTTTAAGCATTTAGACCAGGTTGGGTCAGGTTAGGTCAGGTCAACCAGTAGGGGTCGTGACGGGTATTCGCAGTACGTGTCAACCGCCTCCGACAGCTTCGTAACATGTTACGAAGGCACTTAAACTACTTCGTAAATGTTCAAATGGTTGCTAAATTCGAATTCAGCTCCACAAACTAGCCTAGAAATAAGATTCAGATTCAGATGTATTCGAATAAGGTCCACAATAAACGTGGATTTTCACTCATTCACGTCTTATGTAGAGCAGAAAGGGAAGCTGGAACACAAGACACTACGGCCACTCTCATTCTTACACATACGCATGCACGCCGGCGCGCGCGAGCGCGACACCAAAACACTGAAGCTCACAACGACATAGCAAATCGCTTCGCTTCAGCCCGAAAAGATGGAATGCCGGGCTCAATGCGCGAGTTATTAATGAGTGACATTCCGCGATAACAGAGTCGCCGCCTGCCTGCCTCAACTCGGATTGTTGGTA